TTGCAAACCTAATCAGCTCATATGCACAAACCTATTGCCTATAAATAGAAGAAGCATTTGCAAGAGAGAGAGGTTAGAAAAAATAGAGAGAAAAGCCAGAAGTTTTATTGGTAAACCCTCAAAATCTCATATTCACAAAAGCCATAACAGTCCACAAAACTTCCACTCTTAAGTTTTAAAGTCCAAACCTTTGAATCTCTCATACCTTGCAAATTTTGACCAACCATCTAAACACTCCACATACATCATATAGAAGTTGTTCAAACACAAGAAAAACTTTTGTGACATCACTATCATCACTTCCCAAGCTCAACAACAGCCCATATTCAGTTTCAAGGTAAGTTTTCTTGACTTTGAACTCTTCATACAAGCATCATTAATGGTTCATTTGTGAAGATAAAATGTAGATATCATTTACTAGAAGCTAACCATATGCTTGCTTTTCATTTTCACTAACCATGTATTGAGAATTGACTTTTACATGTAGCAAAATAGTGATAAAAACAAAAAACAGCAGTTATGCGTCGAAATGGAATGCTATGAGTCGACACGTATCATGTCCAAAACAAGTTATGAGCCAATGCAAACTATTATGCGTCGATACTGTAGCGGTAGAAATGTTCAAGACTAAGCCATTGAATTGACTAGACTTTATACAAATCAAAAAATAAAAATCGCCATCGCGCTTTATTGTTTCCAAAGGAATAGGAAAAGAACGAATAACCCAAAAAAGGGGGAAAGATTCAAGGTAAGGGGGTTGGTTATGCAAAGGGAAGGTATTAGCACCATAAACATCTACGGTACTCCGTAGGAACCTCTTTGTAAAATCTGTATATTTTGGCTATAAAAAATGTGTTGTATATAAAATGGATGGTGGAGGTGAGAAGAGAAATATTTTTTATGATTTTTGGACCCGCCGCGATTGCGAATCTTTAGTGCCTACGTACCACCTTTCAAGCAATAGGAGATCAGGGTATACGTAATTCCTCTTTTAAAAAGTTTGAAACACAAGTGTGTTGGTTAATTTTAAGAGATAAGACATCATCGTCATTGTTCGTGTGGAAAATATACTTACTACCCACAATAATGAGAAAGGAGAATTTGCATTATCTCAAAGTGGAGGATATGACTTGGATTTTAAAATCAACAATGCCTCACTCAACATCCAAGTGGAAAATATCTCTCTTCACTACATGTTGTAGAAGTATATTTGTTTGCATCACTACAAGGATTGACAAGAGTCTAACCTTTTGAGAAAAGTTTAAAGATAAAAAGGCCAAAGTGGCAAAATAGTTTGAAATGAGATTGGTTGATTTTTAGTCTTCTCACAAAAAATGTCAAGGTATTAAAAAGATTGAAGTTTATTTATGAAAATATTTTGAAAATGTATGGACCTAAGTCCAAATTTATTATGAAAGTGATTTAAGTTTCAAAACAAGAAGAGTTTTCAAAAGGAGGGAGAATATTTTTGAAATTAAAGAAGATGGGAGGAGAAGAAGAGACTATCCTAAAGCAGAAGGTAAAAGTTAAGGATAAGAACCATCTAACCAACTAGAAGCTAAAACTTGACATTATGAGCCAAGATAGAATTCTCATTCTTTAGATTGAAATCAAGCAAGCAAAGATACTAGACCTCTTCAAACAGAGTAACGGCTTGGATTTCTTAAGAGGTTTATTATTATTTATTATTTGATTTTAATCTAAAAGATAGAAATTCTACATTGACTCATTGTGCCAAGTGTTGGCTTCTTGTTGGTTAGACGGTTCTTTTTCCTAGATTTTACCTTATACTTTAAGATAGTCTCTTCATCTCCTCACATTTTCTTTAATTTCAAACATCTTCTCCCTCCTTTTCAAAACCATTCTTGTTTTTATTTCAAACTTGAACCACTTTCATAATAAACTTGGACTTAGGTCTATGCATTTTCAAAATCTTTTCTTAATCAAATCTTAATCAACTTAACGATACTTTGAAATTATTTTGTGAGAAGACTAAAGTCAATCAATTTCATTCAAACTATTTTTCCACTTTAGCTTTTTATCTTAAAATTTTCTCAAAAAGATTAGACTTTTATTAATCTTTGTAGTGATGCGAGCTATTATACTTCTACGATATGAAGTGAGATATTTTCTCCTTGGGTGTTGAGCGGGGCTTTGTTGATTTTAAAATCCAAGTCATATCTTTCACTTTGAGATGACGCAAATTTTCCTTTCTTATAGTCATGGGTAGTAAGTATGTTTTTTTCTCTCGGACAATACGATGATGTCTCGTCTCTTAAAATTAACCAACGCACTTGTATTTTAAAATTTTTAAAAAGTGAACTACGAGTACCCTGATCCCCTATTGCACGGAAGGTGATACATAGACACTAAAGGTTCACAACTGCGGCGGGTGCAAAAATTATAAAAAAAACTTCTTTTTTCATCTCCATAATCTATTTTTATACAACACTTATAGCCAAAATACACAAATTTTCAAAGAGGTTCCTACGGAATACCGTAGATGTTTAGGGTGCTAATACATTTCCTTTGCATAACCAATCCCCGAACTTAGATTTTTTTTTTTTTAGGTTATTCGCTCTATTCCCATTCCTCTGGAAACAATAAAGCGTGGTGGCAATTTTTATTTGATTTGTGCGAGTTAAGTCAATCTAATGGCTTAGTCTCAATATTTCTACCACTACAATAAGAGACTACCAGTCATACTTCTGTAGAGGCTACGATCAACAGTCATACCTTGTTCATCTTTAAAGAGCTTGACGTGAGTGGCAATAGGTGTGCATTTGTGCCTACCATTTTGTAGTTCAAATTTCATCACAATGTTTCTATAATATTTACTTTAGAAAACAAAGATATCATCTTTCATTTGCTTTACTTAAAAACCAAGAAAGTAGATAAATATCATACTCATCTCGAATTTAACTTGCATTTATTGAACAAAATGATACACCATATTACTTGACATCCCTCAAAACACAATGTCGTCAACATATATATGAACTATATTAAGATTCTCATTGTCTTTCACAACGAGACCCTCTATGTTATTGACATCAGTACTAGCATTCTGACTGAATTTCAATAATCATCCTTCTCAATGATATCATCTATAACATCGACATTATTACTAACATCCTGTCTGACTTCTACATCTAAGTATTGAGGATGACTCTTTTCAGATTCTTCTGATAAAGTTTGAACGTAAGAAGACAAGACAATCCTAGTAACAATTTGATGGCTTCAAGACGAGCAACGGGAACAAAAGCTTCACCAAAATCAACACCTTATATTTGAGCATAATCTTATGCTCTAAATTGTACTTTGTTTCTAGTAATAATATCATTCTCATCTGACTTATTCTTGTAAATCCATTATAACATAATGATATTAGTAAAATTTGGTCTAAAAACAACAAACTCCTATGGATCTTTTCTTCGTGTGATGAAACATTCATCTAGATATCCTATAATGTTTCAATATGTTTCAATAGATATCCTATAATGTTTCAATATGATGATTTTTCTTAATACTTGTTGATGGTTATTTTCATAGAGTAGCATTATTCTCATCACCATATAAATTTCCATCGTCTTCAGCATATTGCACGTTGGTTCCTATATTATCAACAACACCTTGCTCAATATTATGACCAGTGAGGTCAGAATCTAGTTTGAATGTCATTAATAATGACTCTTATGGATTCTATCAAAGATTTTGTATGCTTGTTAAACACAATATACGCCCTGCTGCCAATGGAACATCCTAGAAATATGCCACCATCACTACTTTCTAGGTCTTCATCTACACCATAAATTATAAATTATAAACCCTAAATGCTACACCGTAAATTCTAAACCCTAAACGTCAAATAATCTGTATAACATAGTTTGGCCTAGCGAGCCACAATGTCTCTAGCTTCATAAATGATGCGTCCACATCTTTATTCTAAGCAATATTATTTTAAGCATTTCATATGTAATGATAAAAACACATGGTCATCTTTATTCATTTACTTTTTTTAATGTTTAGTTTAACATAAAACTAATGAGTCATATGTGTATAAATAAAAATAACATAATACTTATATAAACACTTTCTCATTTGAAAAATGCTCGCAACACTCTCTTTTCAACACTGACTTTTAACACATATGAGTCCTACCACTTTATATAGAAACCATTTCCAAAATGAGAGACCCACAAATGTTTCACCCAATAAAAGAGTGAGTGTTAGAGAGTGTTGAAAAGAGTGTTCCTAGCGCTTCTCTAGTTATAAAACTAATGTGAAACTATAAAATACATGAAAAGTGAGAATTGAGAATGACATTCAAAATTTTATTTGTTAAAACTATTCATTTTGACACTCAGTAGTTTGTGGATCTATACAATAGTATGATAATGCCACCTTTGGTCAATCAAATACACGTTGTGGATCTATACAAACAAGTGCATTTTATTAAACCAACAAATACAGTTTTGTTTGATCGCTTGATACAATCCCAGTGACATTTACCCTAACTCAAAATGAACCATGACAGAAAGACTACGCAGTTCCATAACTGCAGCAAATCAGAGTCGTCGCATGTGCAACGAATACAAAATCTTCACATAACAAGGCCAAAATTTTGAAATAAGATAATTCATTAATCTAGTGAACACTGGTTTGCAAATTGGCTTGCGGGTAACATAAGAATTTGATCGAACATATAAAAGGAAACAGATCAACAGATTATCGCTTGAATATACAGTTGCATGACACCATATTTTTGACACCATACAGTTGGGAATATATAGATTTAGCATTAATGAATATTGTAGTTTGCACAAACCATATCATTAAGTATATTCAAAGAATGGGATCATCTAGGTCAGTTCCAAACCACCACAAGACAAATTCTTACATTGGTCCACTATTTTAGTCATATAATAACATAGCAAAAAAAAAATCTTACAAGCAATGATCAGTAGACCAAATGAAATAGATTAGAAGATATCTCGTGGTTAAGATGAGCAGCACCCACTTTTCTGCCCAACTGGCTGTCCCCTTATCTGCACTGTTGGAGGCCTTGCATTGTTTGTAGGTTGGCTTGCCATTCTACATTTAAGACAAAGTTTACATCAGAATTCAATCTTGGTGACAGCAAAGGGAAAAAAAGTTAATGATCTATTTATACATGATTAGTTAAAATTGAAATAATCTCATTGAAAATCAGGACTGATCAAATGTATATCTATGTCTAATATCAAGTTGTCCTGGAGAAATTAAAATAAAATGATGGGCCTCTTGAGGAGATGTCAGTTGCGAGTTTTTCAGCAGACCAAAATCATTTCCTCAGTGGCCATGGCTTTTAGCCTCATTTAGGAATCTATGTATGGCTTGAAATCATTCATATTAAGAGTGGTCTAGATATGAATGGGTGGGTGGAATGCCAAGTCCTCAAAACTGACTTTTCCCAGCCAAGGAAACTGAAAGCATAAAAAAGACTCAAGCTAAAGAATATAGGTAGTGTGAGCTTAGGTGTAATCCTAAAGAATATTGGTAGTGCGAGCTTAGGTGTAATCCTTTCTGAGCTGTTAACTTTTTTATTGCTTGAACTTGTTTTCAAAGCCAAGCAACTTTTAACTGTTTATCTACTGATAAATTATTTTTAAAAAAATGATTACCTTTCCTTGATGGAAGAAGCCATTGCCATAAATGCCTGTTCGACGTTTGTAGAATCCTTTGCACTAGTCTCCATAAAAGGTATGCCTATTTCATCGGCAAATGCCTGTTAAAGGAAAACATAATATAAGAGATAAGGTAATGGTAGCTGATATAGGAACATAAAGCAAAAATGCAGGAACACAAGCTTGAATATCTTTCCTCAATATAGAAAATAAATAAAAAATTCAAAGGGTGTTAAACAAAGTTATACTTTAGCTGTTTCATATGGCACAGCTCTGTTTTCTGTCAGATCACACTTGTTGCCAACCAAGAGCTTGTTAACATTATCACTAGCATAGCGGTCAATTTCACTGAGCCATTGCTTCACATTATTGAAGCTCTCTTCATCTGTAACATCATAAACAATCTGCCAGAATAACCAGACAGTAAATCAGCCAAGGAAACATCAATAATTCGAGAAATATACATTTAAAACTTATTCAAAACCATTAATCACCCACAATGATTCCATGTGCCCCGCGGTAGTAGCTACTGGTGATTGTCCTAAATCGTTCTTGGCCAGCTGTATCCCACTACATAAGAAATTGAATGACATAACAAGGTAAGAAACAAAAGTCAATGAGGTCCAGAGTGTATAACAGCTTAAAAGGGAAAAGATTATAAACAAAAAGGAAGAGGTTATAAAAATATATATTTTATACAAAAATACACCCAACAAAAAAATTTAAAAAGTTGGGCCAAGCTCACTGAAGATATAACATCAACAGAAAATGGAACTAAAACAAAGCCGATCATATACATACAATCTGGAGCTTAATAGTCTTCCCATCCTGCTCAACGGTACGGATTTTCTACAGAAAAATAACAAAAAATGATGAGATCAGAAACTGCTTTAATCAGTGTAAGATAAAGGTTTTGCAAAGTTGTACTTACAAAATCAACCCCAATGGTGCTTATGTAGCTATCAATGTAAGAATCATCCTGTAGCATAATATTTAAAGATAAAAGTTAATACAAATCACCACATTAAGCAACACTGTAAATCATCTCCGAGAACCAAGATCAACCAAAATGCAAAGTAAAGCCATTTTACTTTTCATAGTCTGGTAACTATCATAAGTTATAAAAAGTGGATTGCATGACAAAAACATATTTTATGACACTAGCCGAGCCACACACTTCTCCTCAAACCAAATTAAGAAAATTAACGCGCTTTAATTTTCTTAGGAGCCAAAAGAAGATAATAATTCCATTTTCCAAACCCCTTTTTTAATCAGACATCAGAACCTAGCCACTTTCAACACAATCCAAAGGGTTTTATTTCCCCCCAACTTCATAAACACACCAATGGTATAATTCCCAGATAACCAACATAACAAAAACATCCGACAAAGAATTAAACAGGTAACTATTGTTTATTAAGAACTCAAGATGTTGCACTATATTTTTAACCAGTGCAACATGGTAAAAGGGTGCTATTGTTCTTTGGGAAGGATAAATAGATAACACTAAAAATGTAGAAATACACAAGGTTTTAAATAACGGCCGTGGTCGCGTAAAGGCTTTTGTGATTTCGGTCTATAAAGGTGTTGCAACACTGATTGTGGTCGTCGCGGTGTGAATTAACCAAAATTTGTTCTCTATCACAAAAAGGTAAATAACAGTATAGGTATCGACACCTTCCAACCCTTTTGTCATGGACGTTTTTTAAACCTTAGAAATACAGTAATATGGGAGTTAAAAACATTATATAGCACAGGAAATAGGAAATAAAACCCATGATAATAATTTGCAATAAAAGGAACCAGTAAGCTTACAGCAAATCTCAGAAGAAGGCATGATTTGCCGACACCAGAGTCTCCAATAAGAAGAAGCTTGAACAGATAATCACTGAAAAAGAATAAACACAACACATCAGCTCTAAAATAACTATTTCTTTCTCACACACACATGCATGAAGATGAAATAAAACCGAACCAATAGTGAACTTTTGATTTACGCAAGATCTATAAACAAAAACAACAAGCATCGCTATTTTGCTTCTGATTGATTGAATTACAAACACAAACAACTTTTTGAAATCAACAACCGACAAGATCATGGTAATTCTGAACCTCCAAAATCAATCATGAAAACTCAAAAAAAAAAACAACTATCGTTATCGAATCATAATTTTTATTGTTAATAATTCATAAACACAGGAGAAAATAACAGAAACCAATCAATCTAGGGTTAGAAATCAACAAAAATCGAAGTTAAGACAATCCAACTTGTACACGCCAAATCACCACAACTCTTTTAACATAGAACAACGAAAACACGGAAAAGGAACAGAATTTCGAAATTTCAGAAAACAAGAGACGAATCGATGAAAGCGAGAGCGAAAAGTAGATGAGTGAAAGGGAACATACTACTCAGGATTCATCTCTGATAAAGAGTATAAGGAAGAGTTGATTAGACGGAGATCGGTGAGTTGTCGCCGGAGGGTTGGTCGGTGATTGGCACGGTGGCGGTGGTTAACCTTGGGATATCAGAAGGGAATGTGAAGTTTGGTTGGGTTGTTGAGTGTTTTGAATGACGAGATGAGAAACGCGTGGAAAGGGAAATAAATACGGTGACGTATTTGTAATTGGTATGATTGTTGTTGTGTATATCAGATCCAAATTAATTGACTCGGATGAATTTATTTCTATATATACGCATGGTTCTTATCACCTGTCAAATGGGCTGGCCCATGGGATAAATTATTATAAATTTTAAGGAATTTCTTAATATATATATATATATATATATATATATATATATATATATATATATATATATATATATATATATATATATATATATATATATATATATATATATATATATATATATATATATATATATTCGAACTAATCTTTGAATTAATTTTTAAGATGTTTCGGATATGTATATCTGAAAAACTCATTTTTTATACGTTTTAATTATTTAAACGTTGAATTTAAATATTCAGTGGTATTTTCAAATATGGATATCCGAAAATACATTTGTTACATAAGTTTGCTTCATGATTACTACTACCACTATTTCATTCATTTTATTTTTCCCATAACCAAAATCTACCTTTAAACTTTAATCATTCTCAATCATTTTTTCGTTTCCAAACCAAGTTTCAAGTGTTTTATCATATCAAAGAGAGCATAGAAAGCTACAATTTAAGGTAAAAATTCCTCATTGTCTCTGTTTCTCCGTGAAACTATCGTTAGCCTCTTATTAAAGGTTACTTGCAGGATCAGCTACAATAATCCTAGACTTAGTGTTTTGAGTGTTTTTTTGTTGAAATTGGTTTATAAAAGATAAAAGGGCAAAAGATAAAGACAATTGCAAAGTAGATAAATTAAAGGCAAGGCTTGTAATTTAAAGTAAAAAGCTGGAAATTGATATGAATTTAGATGTGAAAGCATTCATACATTGTTAAGCTTGAACTCGCTTCTCTCTTAGATGCGAGTACTTTGAGTGTATTGATATTAAACGTGAAGAAATGTGACCTCAGACACAAATACAAAAGTTTGCTTAAATAGATATCCTAAATATGTAACCGTCGACGGTTACCAGCCCACGTTGGGCTTCGTGGAAAACTGTTTTGAATATTACCACGTCTTCACTGGCTTTGCACGTTGATAACCATTCTCGCCAATACGAATCCATGCTTGTCGACACCTGCTCATGTCGATGATCGCATGTGCATCTAGGCCTTTCGTCGACTAGCTCCTTTTGGTCGATATCTCTTGACTTAATTGACGCGTCTTGTTGTTTTCTACGAAAACTTTATGCCTCTTCAGCCAAATAAATCCCACAGCTTAAGCCTTATAACCCCAGCCAAAAATTGCTTGTCAATAAATTGCCCTAAAAAATGCCATGTTCGACGGAGCCTTATCGGTGGGAGAACTCTCATGTTTTCTCTTCTACGTTTTCGACTGTACGCCTCTTTGAGATGACGTCATGCATAATCATGACTACTTTCTGTGCAACAGTTTCCCATGTCACTTCAATCACTTCTCATGATCACTCATAGGTTTTAGGGCGTGGGTTTTTGAACCAATCCCACCAACTTTTCCACTTCTTTTGGCCTGCTCATGCTATTCGAGTGACATTTGTTTCGCTCCTAACAATTCTGATTCTTCTTTAAATAGACTTTCAAGAACTCTTAGTCTCTTTCTTTCACTTCAGTTTCCAATCTTTTAAATTCTTGATAATCTTAAGGAAACTTCCTTTGTTTTCGCAATGGCCACTCCAGCTAATATTCCTTTCACCAGTAATAACCCCATAGCTTTCACTATTTTTGTGAAACAAAGCTTGAACTATATCCCAGATCCTCCTTCTAATGTGGAATCCAAGGTCCAGGCGTGGCAGCACCAAATTCTTATTCATTTTGTTGTTACGAGAAAAGTCTTCTCATTTTGTTGTACCCCAAAATTTTCCCTCTCATTTTTCAAGATATTTATCACTTAAGATCTCAAATGCTCAAGGATTATCAAGGGTATGATTAGACAAGCTCACCTCCTAAGCATTCAACCCCCCAAATTAAAGTTTTGGTTTTCTCAAGGACAATTAGACTTTTGATGCCTCAAATGAATTTCATGGTTCATTATAGGTCTTCAAGATTTCTCATACCAAGTTTCAAATCTTGCATCACAAATTTGCTCAGTCAATTGCTCAGATGACTAAAAATCAGTTGTATTGGGTAAAAAGTCAATTATGGTCAACATACAGTCAAACTTCATGATTTTTGGCCAACATCAACATTTTGAAGTCATATTTATCAATTGATCAATGTTTTATCACAATGTCTCAAGAAAAGCACTCAAATCATCAAAGGGGCAAAATTGTCAAAATTAGGGTTTTTACTGAGAATGACCGATCAATGATTTTTGACCTAGTACATGACCTAATAATTTGAAGCATAATCTTAAGGACTCAAACACAACATGATGACCTGATTTCATGGCTCAAATCATTTCTCAAGATTAATGGATTGATAGTTGAAATTTGATCAACTGATGAAAAGTCAACTAATATACAAAAAGTTAAACTTTGACTTTTTGGTCAACATTAAATTTCAAAGATCAAAGTTCATCAAGAAATTAAAAAATATAAAACTTGATCATCAAGAATCAAGAAAGTCCACAAAAAGTCAAAGTTTTCAATATTAGAAAATTTCTAAGTATTTTTAACCTTGATAATTTCAATATGACAATTTTTCACCAAGATGCAAGATGATTCAAGGAAAACTTTCAATATGAAAGTTGTAGATATTGATGAATTCTACAACTTCGTCCCTTAGGGTTGGTGTCCAAAAAATTCTTAGATTTGAAGATATAAGCTCATAAAGTCATGACATTTTTCATAAAACACTTTGGGAAAATTTTAGCAAGTTTAGGCAGATTTTTTACCTAACTTCTTGACCAATTTTCACCTAGTTCCAAGATTATTTATCCAAAGTGGTCAACGTGAAGGTTGTAGACAATGTTTCAAGCTTTCCAAAATGTCCAAAAACTTGAAGAGATCATTTTTGAGCTAGGAGTTTCAAAGAAAAGAAGTTGGGCATCCATTCTTGAATTATAGGTCATTTTCATGAAGAACACTTGAAAAAATCTCAAGCCATGCTGTATAAATATTACTTTGAAGGCTTAAAACTTGAAAATCACTCAATAATTAAATTCTTACACAACTTATTGAGCCATTGTCCAAGCATTTGAGCCATTGTCCAAGTGATTAATTCGTTTTTGACACAAAGGTAACATTGCCCTTTTGGAAAAGTGGCTTTAATCACAAAGTACACTCTCCTTGAGCTTTGCAATTGTTCCTTATGCATATACACAATCTCAAAGCCATAATCAACTTGTCTAGAGCCTGTCAACCACCCTACAAGTCCTTGTACCATGCATTGGAACTATGTTTGTCAAGCTTACTTCAAAAAAAAGTTTCAAGACCAAAATATGTGATCTTTTGTTTCTGATCCCTTCAAGCTTCCAAACATCTTGCCTATAAATAGAGAGGTTATATGCAACCTAAAACACGAATTTACAAGCCTTGAAGCACCCTCAAGCTCCCTAAAATCAGAATTTACACACAAATTCTCCATTGTTACAACTTCTGACCTTGCACTTCAAACTCACATTTCACTCGTGCGTTTTCACTCTAAATAAATCACAAAGCTTCCATACATTATTTAGAACCCATCCAAGACCTTGTTACACAACTGTAACACCTCCATCACCATCCTCCATTCCAAAAACAGAGCTCTGCATGTTAACTTCTACAGGAAGATTCAGCCACTCTTAATCCAAAGTAAGCTTTGCAATAGCTTCCTAGGAGTTCAGTGAAGTTATCCAGATCATCACAACATCTCCAGGAGTGCTCAAACTTCAAACAGGATTTCCAGTTTTGAGGTAAGTTTTTCAAACTTTGATTTCCTCATTTAAGCATCATTTTCCTTCGATTTCAAAAGATAAAATGTAGACAACATCGCCCTGAAGCTAACCATGCCTTTAGTTCCAATTTATATTACCTGAGTGATACGAATTTTGAGGTTGAAGTTACAGAAAAATTAGGTCAAAATTTGGTACCAATCAAAATTCGTGCTCATTTTTTATTTATAGCTTAAGATATTTATATGGTTGAAATCGTGATAAAATTTCTAACAAGTTTGATGTTTACACTTTCTGATTTGGTTGAGAAATGAGCAAGCTTGAAATTTAAAAATGTTGTTCTGTGGATTGGCGCGAGGAAGAAGACAAAGTTCATTCAGGAAAGGGTTTATAATATATAGATTAATTTGTACATAAAACAACAGATGTATCACCATTCCGGTGGTTAAAGCACGCGTCTGTTACCTATGAGACCTGGGTTTGAGCCCCAGCGTCCCATTTTGTTATTTTTTTCAACATTTTTTTGCCCCTTTTTTTGTTTCCAAGCGCGCTCGGGCCCTCTGTCTTGGGCCTGAATTGTTTTGCTTAAATAACACCCCATCCCCCCTTTGCCACTAGTTACAACGCAGACCCATTTTTTATTTTTACTTTTTTTTTATTTTTCTGATTTCCAAAAAAACTTATTTTTGGCCTAATTTTTTTGCTACTTTTCACCTCCTGATTACTTTTCAACACCTAAGTCCAATATTTATATATTCTTTCTATTTTATTATTTTTATTTATTTATTTATTTTTATTTTAACTAAAAATACAAAAAAAATATATTTTCTTAAATTAAAATATTAATTCAACCATTTCCTTATTTTTATTTCTATTTCATTATTTTTTTAAACAAATAAAACCTCAAAAATTATTATTTTCGAGATAATTAAATTAGACTTAGGGTTTTATTTTAATTAACTTGGATTTTAGGTTTTGGTTAAATAATTAATTAACTTCCCTTGTAAATTAA